TGTACGCGTAACTTTGATTATAATTGTAATTAATATAACAAATACAATTTAATACTAAAAAATACTTGTATATTTATATGGAATTAGGGTCGGCAAATTCAGCAATGCCGACTCAAACAGTTTAAGGTTGGCAAAATATTGCTGACCTCATTTTTCCTAATTCCGAAGTCTGTATATATATATATATATATATATATATATATAATATATATATATATATATATATATATATATATATATATATATATATATATATATATATATGTATGTATACTTATATATTATATATATATATATATATATATATATATATATATATATATATATATATATATATATATATAAATATATATATATATATATGTATGTATACTTATATATATATATATATATATATATATATATATATATATATATATATATATGTATGTATATATATATATATATATATATACATATATATGTATGTATATATATATATATATATATATATATATATATATATATGTATATATATATATATGTATATATATATATATATATATATATATGTATATATATATATATATATATATATGTATATATATACACACACACACAAACATTTATTAAATAAATCACACACACAAATACATAAACACACATACATACCTTACTTTTTGTGAACATTTTTATTTAAGTTTTAAGTTAAGTATACCAGAATGTTTTACCTTGTGTTTTACTGATAATATACAGATTCTTCATTTGTTCAGGTGAATCAGTTTTATCAGAATTATATACACTGATATTTGAAAAAATATTTGGCAGCATATTAATATCAGAGAATGCAACTATTCCATTAACAACAACTGAATACATATACGAGCTGTTGATATACTGCTGCGAAATTTTAATTGTACTCCATGAATTTAATTCCATATCATAATTTGTTAATGTTAAGTTAAAAAAAGCAATTTTTAATTTACTGCTAGCCGTATAATTAACTTGTATAAATTCATTACCAATACCATTACTATTCTCGATAAAAAAGCATAAAATATTTTTTTGATGTACATCAGTTTTGTACACATCAAATGCTATAACAAATTCTTCATAGATAACATTAATCAATATTGAAGTCAAATTATATTGTAATAAGATGTTGTCGGCTTTAATCACTAAATCTAAAATAAACCAAAAATTAATATAACAAAATTTAACTTTAAAGTTATTTATAAATGTTTAAACAGTATAGCACATCATCAAAAAGTGGGTAGGTACATTTTGACATAATATAATTTATTTCAAATCAACAACTACTACTAATTGTTTAACCCTAATAAACATTTACACAAGTCACAACAGTTTACACAACTAACTTGATTTTGTTACATAAATAAATTTAAATAAATATTATTAATTAAAATATTAAATAAATAAATTTTTTATAGTATTAATATTTATATTGTTCAACTTTTATATTAAATATTACTTAGTAGTTTTTTTTTGCATCATAAAACATAAATATAGTTTTCAATACTTGTTTTATAAGTGTAATGTTTTCAATACTTGTTTTATAATTGTAATATTTTTGATACTTGTTTTATAATTGTATTATTTTATAATTGTTTTGTATGAAATGTGTTTCTTTTATCTTTTTTATTTTATTAAAACTAAAAATAAAAAAAAACTCTTGTTTTGTTATTGCTTTTCTGCACAACATTTACTTTAAAACATACACAATACACACAACTTAAATGCATACATACACAATACACACAACTTAATTACAAACATAAACAATACTTTTACAATTTTTTTTTTTAATTATTATGTTTTGATAGTCTACTAAAGATAAAAAAAAAATGAGAAACAGAAAATATATTTTCAAAACAAATTAGAAAAAATAATCAATGATATTTTAATCAAGTAATGATAGTAGCTGTCAAAATAAATTATAACTTTTAAAAATTTAAAATTTTTCATTTTTTAAAATGTCATCAAAGCAATTTAAAAATTGCATAACAATCTTGCATACATTCATGAATAAAATCCATCATGGAACTACAAACAAGTCTCAAAAGCTATATCCTATATCTACTGTTGGAAGGGTTATAAAACGATATAAAAAAAAAACTATCCACCAAACAAGCCAAAGAATCAAAAAAAAAAAATTTTTTTACCAAAAAGTCAGGTAAAGATTTGTTGCTCTTTAGAATGAAATCCATGATTGTCTAACAGATAAAGAGATAAAAAATAAAAAGACATATTAATACTACAATTACAAGTCTTTCCAAACAATTAAATACTTAAATTGCTCTGATAAATAAAGTTCCACTGTGTAAAGTTCCACAATTTTTGATAAAATTGAATAACGGCATTTTATGGACCACAAAACGTTTGAAAATGTGATGTTAATTAAGTTGTTAATTAAGGTGATAAATATTACTTTAATTGTTCATGACAGTGTAAGCATTATATATAAATACAAACTTGTGGAAAAATATGGCAAAAATTGCTCTTATGGCAAGCAATTTATAAATGTGGAAAAAAAAGAGTAGAGCTTTTGTGACGCCATCAACTTTGACATCAGAAATTAATATTTAAGAGTCCCTTCAAAAGCCATTTTTGCCACTCATTTGATTGCAAGCTAGACCTTGTTTGTTTCATAAATTAAGAAAAGATAATTTTGTACTAAAAAAGCTCAATTTACAAAATTGCCCACAGTTTCAACCTATCAAAAAATATGGGGGTATTGGCAAAGAATATTTACGTAAAACAAGCGAAACTATTATTTACAAGAATAGCTGAAGGCATGGTCAACCATAAGCAAGAAAATGACAATAACAGTTGTGCAGAAATTAATTGGAAATTAAAGTAGTTATCTAAAATTGAACATATCTGATGTTTGGGAGTATTCTAAAAGGAGCCAAAACAATCTTTGTGGAGCTGTTTACAACTAATGCAGTAAAAAAATATTATGCAAAGGTTTATTGACCTATGCAATTAGAAATCATTTAAAAATACTTTATAGTATTTTCAAATGATTTCTAATTGCAACTTAATGCCTTCAACAAATGTTAAGGAATTACTTGTGTTAAAAAAAAAAGAAGCAAAAAGTTGGGACTGAAACAAAAAACATGCTAAGCTACGTTAAAATTGAAAAAAAAAATTCTTTAATTTCTTAACTTTAAAAAAAAACTTTTAGAGTTTTGTAAAAATTGCTATTTTAAATATATTTGAAAAGATTTTCCTTATCTTATTTTCCTTATGTAAAATAATTAAAGTTTTTCTTAACATCAGTTTAAATTAAACTGATGTTAATTTAAGCTGCAGTTTAAATTAACATCATAATCATTTAAAGTTGTACGAGTTAGCTGTATGAGGATATTAAAAACCCTCAAATCATGCAAAATCAAACACTAATTTAAAAAATGGGGTTATGTTATTACAAGAAAATTTTTTTTCTGTTGTTTTGGTTCATTCCCAACAAGGCTGTAAGCAACCACTATTAAGTTGTGAGTTACTAGAAAAAAAAAAAGAGTTATAGAGCAAGAAAACTGTTGACAGAAAACTTAAAAAGTTGTATGTTGTATGAGTCATGAGGAAAACATGAAGATGGGAGAAAGTTCTAAAGGGTTAAAGTGCAGGAAAAAACTAGACAATTAAAAGTTTTAGAACATGAAGGGACAGATACAGTAGAAAAATACAACTTTGCTGAATGATAAGTCAAGCAAGAATGAATTTTGGTCGATGGAACTAGAAATAATAACCTTTTGAGCAGTAACAATGATAGTACAATGTAGAAGAGTGAAGCAGATCTTATCTTTCGATAATGGACATTTATAATGCATCTTTGGACATACTGAATGTGTTGAGTTATTTCAGAAGATTTGCCAATAACCTTCGAGCAGAACAGTAGATGCAGATATTACAGTAGACGCAGATGTTACAGTTGATAAAGATACTACAGTATCTTGCAGATATAACAGTATCTTGCAGGTATTACAAAGTCTTGCAGATATCACAGTATCTTGCATATATTACAGTATCTTGCAGAACAGTAGAAAATATCCTTTCAGTATAGTCATAAGACTATACTGAAAGACCTAGACTATAGTCATCCAGCATAGTCTGGAAAAAAGATTCTATTGTTTTGCTGTTTTATGTTGAAATTTTTATCAACAACCCGCTGAAGGTGCACAAAAAGATAAACAAAACTTTGTTCAACATAACTCTCTAAAAGAGTTTGAACTTTAATTTGAACTTTTTTTTGGTTTAAATTAGATTTAATTTAAATAGTTTTTAAAAAAAAAATTTTTTTTTTTCTAATTCTAAGAAAAGATTATTTAATTTAAAAAATTATATTTTACATAAGTAAATCATAAATAAGGTAATATTATATATATATATATATATATATATATATATATATATATATATATATATATATATATATATATATATGTATGTATGTATGTATATATATTTATAAGATCTATAAACCTTATTTTAAATTTTTTGCATTGTTTAAATTATTATAAATTAACAATCTCTCTATTGTAAATTAGATAACAATCTCTCTATTGCACACTCATGTAATCTACATGTGTGTGCAAAAGAGAGATTTTTATCTAATTTACAATAACTTTAACAATATCCTGCATTGTTTGACGTATAGTATATTCAATATTTATAATATATATATATATATATATATATATATATATATATATATATATATATATGTGTGTGTGTGTATATATATATATATATATTTATATATATATATATATATATATATATATATATATATATATATATTTATATATATATATATATTTATATATATATATATATATTTATATACATATGAATCGCTAACCGCAGAAAGGCAACAAGTCCACAAATCCTAATTTTACAGGAAAGACAAAAAACTGTTTTAACCTTTCATTTTCAAACTTGGGGTTTTCAATTATTTTCTAGTTATTCAACAGTTAGTAGGGGGCTGAAAGATATAT